TAAATAAATAAATAAATAAATAAATAAATAAATAATTTTTAAAAACTCAGGAGTCACAACATAATGTGGAGAAAATGGAATGTAGAACCATACAGATTTAGCTCTTTCGGCTACACTGTGTGACCTTAGGCACGGTATTAATCTCTTTGAAATGAGTTTCCATGTGTAAAATAGGAACAACAATACCATAAATGATGTTATAGAGAAGCACTTACTGTTTTGCTTGGTGCTCAAAAAATATTAGTTTGGAGACGTATTAAATACTGTTTCTCAGAGGTCAACCCTCCATCTCCAGTGTGCCAGCAACTTTCTTCCCTCCCCCACTGCCATCTCTGCCCCTGCAAGTTTGGACAGTACCAAGTAGTCAAAAGTCAGCTCGAAGGAAGAGAAGCCTGGGCAGGGAGGCTCCCCAGGTGGCTGGTAACTCCTCCTGGAACATGGGGGCTGCTGTGGGCACCTCAGTGACCACACTAGGCCTCAGGATGCCTCTGGAATGCAAGGCCGATGTGAAGCAGCAGCAAGAAGAAGCACTGCCATAGCCCTGAACAGTTCTAGGGCCACTTGGTTCTCCCATTCTCAGCGCCTATTAAGTATAATCATTAAAGCTGCATTTGCCTTCTAATAATAGCTCCTCGCATGGGTAATTATAACTCCGTCATCCTAGTAAAGCCTGGGATGGGTTAGGGGAGCTTGCGTTTTGCAGGCAATGCTGTTTGATTCTGGTTAGAGCAGGCCTTGGCAGGCTCTTGCTGGCTGGGGTCATGCAGAGTGGGCCTGAATCACACGGGTGCACCCTTCCTCAGCCATGCTCACCTTAGTCCTTAAGCAATGGGACTGGCCCTCCTCTCTTAGCCGGGTACTCAGACCTTGTTGCCCCTCATTCTGCCTCCCTGCTGTCCGTAGGAACAAAGCCTGAAAATTGTCTCTCACTTCCCTAGAGGTCTCTCTAAGAGTAGTGGCCAATCCTGGAGGAGGAAGTGTTCCACAGCCCAAGTGAAAAGGTGCATAGTAGGTCTCACTTAGTATCTCCTGAATAAGTAATAACAATAAACAACCCTTATTAACTACCTCTTTCTGGAAGGTACTAAGACCTTACAGGTATTCATTCATTTAACCTTCTAAATAACTGTGTGTGGTAAGTTTCTATTACCGTCCCTGATTTACAGATGAAGCAATCCAAGCAGAGAGGTTAAATAAATTGCTCTTTGTCACCTAGCCAGCAAGTAGTAGAGATGGGACATGTGTCCAGGGAATCATATTCCACAGTCTGTGCTCTTAAATTTATTTATTTATTTTTTGGGGCAGAGGTTTTTGCTATAGGGCACATGCGCTCGCCTGAAAGACAGAGAGAGACAGAGAGACAGAAAGCGAGAAATCATCCCCCAGGGGGAATGGCTATGCTGCAATCCCTTCTCCTCTCGGGATCTTGGGCACGCATGCACACACACTTGGTGTGAGTTTAAGCCACCGGGTCTGGGACTCAAACCATGGTCGACTACATGGGAGTCCAGCGACATAGCCATTATACCAACTGCTGGTCCCTGTGTTTTTAACTTCTACACATATATAAATGTCTTTCTTATACTGAGTTGATGCCTGAACTGGAGGAACAGGAGGACCGAGTATCTAAAATCAGAAATCCTGAGTTCCCACCTGAATTTGCTGTGTAATTTTGGGTAAGTCTCGGGGTTTCAGTTTCCTTTATCTGTCAAATGCAGAAAATATAAAAAAGTATCATACTCTCCTTGGGGACATCAGTGAGATTAAGGGTCTAAAAGCTAACTAGAGACTATATACAATCTGTGATAGTCCCAAACTGAAAATGACATAGTCCCAAACGTCCATCAACAGATAAATGAAAAAACAGAATATAGCATAGCTATATCCACAATTCAATTCTCTTTAACAGTAAAAAGGAAATCCATTGATGTACCAAACAATAGAGATGCAACTCAATTACACTGACTGAAAGACACCAGGCAAAACCAGTACATGCTATATGATTTCCTTTATAGAAAACTCTAGAAAATCTAAGCAGATCAGTGGCTATGTGAAGATGGAGGTGTGAGGAGGGAGGGATTACTAAGGAAAGCTGGGAGAGGGTGACGAACACATTTACTATCTTGATTGTGATGATGGTCTCAGTATATACGTATGTCAAAACTGGTCAAACTGGGACCAGCAGATGGTGCAATGGTTACGTCACTGGACTCCTACATAGTCTACTGCGGTTCAAGTCCCAGAGTTGGTGGCTTCAAACTCATGCCAGGCGCATGTGCGTGCGTGCCCAAGATCCCAAGAGGAGAATGGAGGAGAAGGGATTGCAGCGTAGCCATTCCCCCTGGGGGGTGATTTCTCGCTTTCTATCTCTCTGTCTCTCTCTGTCGAGTGCCTGTGCTCTATAGCAAAAATCTCTCTTAAAAACAACTGATTAAACTGCACACTTTGAATATGTACACTTCATATACCCCAATATATCTGTTTTAAAAAACAGAAAATGAGACACAATTTTCCTCTTAACAGGTTGGCAAAGATTAAAAACTGATAATATCTAATGTTGGTGAGGAGGTGGAGAATGGAACTCCCATTCAAGGTTACTGTAAAAACCGGTGCCACCTTTTCAGAGTCCAATTTAGTAACAATTATAAAAATTTAAAATGCAAACATGTATGACCTCATAGCCCCCAGGTTAGGATGGCGTCTCACAGAAGTACTGGCATGCACACAAAGGAAACTGAATGGGCACATGTGGAAGGCAGCAGGGGACAGAGGGTTAAAAAAAAGGCTCTGGAGTCAGACCCTGGGAGTTCCGGTCCGGTCTATGGTCTTAGCCAATGGCTAGCTTCATGACTCTGTTTCTCGGATTTCTTATCTTAAAATAGGGATAAAAAATATCACCTACCTCCCAGGTGTTTTGTGAGAATTAAATGAGATAATCCATGCAAAGTACTAGGAAAAATAACTGCATGGTGAATGATAACAATCAAAGCTTCGCTATTATAGCATTTTCGTAATAGGGAAAAAACAGAAAACAACCTAAGTGTTCGTTCACCAATAGAAGAGAGACTCAATAACTTATGGGATAGTTTTTAAGGTGAAATATTTGTAGTGGTTAAAAGCAGTGCCTTTTCTATGTACTGAAATAAAGAGATTTCTAAGATCCATGGCTAAGTTTAAAAAGCCGTTTGCAGGGCCTAGGCTGTGGCGCACTGGTAATATGACACTCGGACGTGTCCTGTGTGTCCTGGACCTGTCGGAGCACACCAGGTGTGGGAGTGCCTGTGATCCTGGCTGGCTGGGGCCAGCCATGGAAGATTGTGTGAAGACCCTGTTAGGGGTACCTCTCTTTCTCAAAAGTAATAAATAAATACACTTTTCTTGAAAAAGGCAATTTGCAGAACATTATGTAAATAGTGTGATCCATTTTTGTGGGAGCAAAACTGTCTGTGGGCATGGCGGTGGCTACCTCTGGAGTCTGCCAGGGGGAAGACTGAAGGGAAGATATAAGACCTTTAATACTGACTTTATATGGTTCTGATTTTTGAATTTGTTGCAATAATCTTTCACACTTTCTGTAATGACAAATAATATTACAAAGACATGAACTATAAGGTGGAATTTACTAATTTCTGCTTGCATCAGTTAAATTCTAATATTTTGGACAACAAGAGACCTGTGTTGTATTTCTTGGGACCCAGGTCCCTCTCTGTTCACTGTGCCCTCTATCAAGTATCGGGCTTGCCGCAAATATAGTCTTTTCAGTGTCATTTCCTCAGCAAGGCTAGTCTGAGAATGGTCTGAGAATGGCCAGGACAAGGGGAGGCGGGAAGACAGAAGCAGAAGAGGCTCATTTATTTCTGTTGACTTTACAGAGGCCATTGAGACTCTGCTTCCTCTATATTAGGGCTGGACTTCAAGGCTCTGTGTCAAGAATAAAGCATTCCATGGGACCAGCAGTTAGCGTAATGGCTATGTCACTGGACTCCCACGTAGTCGACCGCGGTTCGCGTCCCGGACCCGGTGGCTTAAACTCACGCCGGGTGCATGTGCGTGCGTGCCCAAGATCCTGAGAGGAGAATGGAGGAGAAGGGATTGCGATGTGGCCATCCCTCCTGGGGAGTGATTTCTCGCTTTCTATCTCTCTGTCTCTGTCTGTCTGGTGAGTGCACACGCCCTATAGCAAACACCTCTCCAAAAAAAAAAAAATGATGATAGCAAATAAAATTAAATCATTCTTTAAAAAAAAAAAATTGAAAAAAGAATAAAGCACTCCCAAAGGCAAAGGCAGGCCTTCCTCAGCTCTAGGTCCAAGGGCAGTGCTGGTTAAGGCTTGGTCTCATAGAGTATCTTGTCCATTTGGGGGGAGACTGCAATTGCAAGAAACTTTAAAGTAGCACCTTAAAAATCTAGGTTACTGCATCATATGTTAAGAATGACAACAACTGGGACCGGCAAGTGGTATGGTGGTTAAGGGTGCTGGACTCCCACATAGCCAACCATGGTTTGAGTCCCTGACCTGGTAGCTTGCTTTCTCACTTTCCCTATATGTCGCTTTCTGGTGAAATTAAAATAAAGAAATAAAATTAAATAATTTTTTTAAAAAAAGAAGGAATGATGACAACAATAAAATTACAGAAAGTCCTCTTAGATGTTCATATGGATCCTATGGAACTGTCACTTCCCAGAGCTGAATTTCAGGAAGGACTGTGTAGTGTCACATACCTAGAGGAATGTTGAGTTCACTGAACACATCCTCTGGTTCCCAGGAAGGCAAAGAAAGGGGTTGTTTCAGCTCCACTTCCGTGTATTCTGGTGACCTCACATCCAGAGATTTCATTTCCATGTACCTGGAGTTTTCTGCAAAATATGAGGCAGGGCAAAGACCTAATGAAACGCAACATGCCTCAAAGAGTCCCTGCAATTCTATTTCCTGTACTGTGTGACTGGGAATTGTCCCTGGGACTGGCTTAATCTCGTGAGGCTGGAGTGATGACTGCTAATTAGAACAAAGCACTGTAATTAAGGACTTTTTCCACTGCCAAAAGAATGCCACACGCAGTAAAACTTGGCAAATCTTTGCATTTGGCTCAGGGGGATGGGCTGCTGATGCCTTCCATGGGAATGATCCACCCACCATGCCTCCCACCCACCCCCCAACTCGGTATCACTGTCTCTCCAGGTGGAGGAATTAGCAAAGGGCAAAAACAGCGCTGATGTCCACCTCGGCTGGCAAAAAAGGCAATGCCATTCTCTCCCAAGTCTTCCGAGCCTTGTTTTCACACACGAACTGCAAACACGGGTAAGCTGATCAGCCACTAACACAGACCCAGGTTGAGACTTAGACCGCAAAATAAAAGGGGTGCAGAGTGGGGTGAGAGTTTCCCTTCTCCTTTATTCTTGCCTTCTCTAGATAGCCTGGGCCCCGGGCGTTTCTCTAGCAACAAGTTGGCAGCTCATGGCAGGGTTTCCATGGAGACTCAGATCCACGCAGGTGAAAAACAGCTCAGGTCAGCCTGACATGGAGGAAAGCCCAAGCCTCCAGGTCATCTGGTACCAGCCTGTGCCTCCCGCAAGGCTCTGGGCTAACATGTTTATTTGTAAGTCCTTTCCC